TCTGTCTGAGTGTTCCTGTATATTATGGTATTTTCTACCTCTGCATGGTATTGTTGATTGATTTTTAAAAGAGCTCTATTATATTGGCTTAAATAAGCCCTTATATGAGAATTCTCAAAAATATAGCAGAAACTAACCTGAGTGCTTTTAAAATTCACATAATCTGGAACAATATTTGATATTAAATTTTGTTTTTTGAGTTTGGTTTGTATAAATATAAATAACTGGACAGGAGCACAGGGAAGGCCAAACAGTGGTGCAACAGATCCTTCACAGTTGTTCACTTCTCAGTTTTCACTAGAAATTAAGCTTTTTTTAGGTTACAAATTCTGATATATGCAATTCAAGGCACTGAAAGTAAAAATAATAGGGAAAAGTACTGTATACAAGAGAAACAGGATATGTTTTGGCTTTTAGAAGACAGTATGAGATATGAAGATGTGTTTTTGTTAAGGGAAGTGAAGTAATTTTGTCCTGATTATTTCTGAATGGGTGTGTGTACTAAAAGGAACACAGAACGTTTTAGTAAGTTTGTGAAAAAGAATCATAAGAGAGGAAATTTTATGTGTGATCAAGCTGAATAAGACAGAAATTTAATCTAGTAAATGAATTTAAATATCAAAAGTTAGTACAGACGAAGTGTCCATCAGATAAGTGGATAAAAAAGCTGTGGTACACATACACAATGGAATACTATGCAGCTGCAAAAAAGAAGGATTGCCCTCTCAGGTAATCCTTGGAGGGACCTGGAGAGCATTATGCTAAGTTAAATAAGCCAAGTAAAGGCAAGTATCACATGATCTCAGTTATATGTGGAATCTAATGAACAAAATAAAATGATGAATAAAACAGAACCAGAGGCATGGAAACATGGAACAGACTGACGAACCTCAGAGAGAAGGGGGATGGAGGAGGGAAGAGATAAACATTGCCCATGAACACAGACAATAGGGTGGTGAAGGCCTGGGGTGAGGTGGAGACCAGGCAGAGGGGGGCAATAGGGAAAATAAAAGGGGGGGTGACTCTGTAATACTCCCAACAATAAAGATTTTTTTTAAAGTAAGGTGAAACAAAATTAGAGTGTGGTTTTCTCTCTGTGATGAAAGGACTGTTGGTCGCTGCTGAGCCTGAGAGGGTTTTGTGTCTAGAGAGCAAAGTTCTGTTTTATCAAAATAGTTTCCATTTTATATTGTCTTAATCATGTTCTTGATTACTTAAGAAACTTGAATCTCCTCAATAGTAAGAACTAAGTTTTGCTAACAATTATGTAAACTTCTGTATTTTCTTCGAAAATGTGCATTGCCACTTTGGTCAGATGGATAATTAAGTATTGCTTCTTAATGACTTAGATCCTATTTAGTCAAATGTCCAAACCTCTTTATATATTTTGACAAACTTCCCAAAATTTTAATTATAAATCTGAGTCTTGACCTGGGAATGACTTTGAGGTATTCCAGAAGGGCCCCTGGAACACCTAAAAATTTTGTTTCCTCTCCTTACGAAAGAGAAATATTAAACAAATTAGGCTTATTTTGGTGTGTTGAAATTACACAGGAAGCACTGTCAAACAGAAAAATAACACTGAGCCTTCTTTTTTTTGAGTGAGAGAGATAGAAACATCAACTGGCTGCCTCCTGCATGCCTCCCACCGGGGATCGAGCCTGAAACCTAGGCATGTGCCCCAACTGGGAATCGAACCAGGACCTCTCAGTCTATGGGATGCTGAGCAGTCCACTGAGCCACACCGGCCAGGCGACACAAGCCGTCTTCATGTTGTATTTGTATATAATTATAAATGTTCCATAAACATATGTAAAATTGCTGGACATCTGAAATGGCCTGAAATAAAATGTCTGTCATCAAAACAGAGGAACACACTAAAACAGCTGAACCTCAGTACCAGCCTGTGGCACATGTGTAGAAAGTCCAATCTAGTTTTTGCAAAAATGACCCCTTATTGCCAGACTTTTTCCATCCGTGGCGACAGTCTGCTCCCGGATCAGAGAAGTTAGGATGGGTAGACAGTGACTGTGAATTAGGAGGATCACTGGGGCTCTGCTCTGGGAAACCCAGCACAGCGATTTGGTTTTTCCCTGCTCCCCGGCATTTTTTTGTATTTAGATTCCTCCATCCACCCTAGTACATTTGCGCTGGACTTCATTCAACTGCCACTTCGTCTGGGTCAACAGCACGTTCTTGTTGTGTGTACGTTTCCGTAGATGACTTTAGCTTTCCTCTGCTACAAGGCGGATGACCTCGCAGTGGCAACGAAACTAGAGGAAGAAATGTTTTCCCACGTGGGGTATACCTTCCAGAATCTCTGAGGATCGAGGCCCCCACTTCACATGAGCCCTGATGGACAACCTTGCAGACTTCTTGGAACTATCACTGGCCACATCACCCTCAATTATCAGACAGCGTTGAACTAAAGGGAAAACCGGATTCCAGCAAACAAGTTTAATTACATAGGACTGAATGAACTGATAAGAAGGGTTACAATTTTGTAACTTTTTATTTGAAATAGTGCTAATTTTGAAAATCTTGTTTTTCTGACACAAGGAATTTTTCTTCTTTACACCTTTGTAAGCAGTACTGAAACATTTCTTTCTTTTTTCTCTCTACTTGATCCCTCCAGACTTTGGAAACTCTCAATAATTGAGTAATTTTATTTTCACAGTAGTATGTTTGCATAAGTTCAATAGGAATCTGTTCTCTTTACAACAGCACACAATTGGAAACTAGACGTGTACAAGGCCTTGACTAGAATGTCATATTTGAGAGAGGAATGCGGCTTAGATACGACCAGAAAGCTTTAAGGAATTAAGACTGACTCTGAACAGCAATAAAGCCCCCTTGGGCAAACAGTCTGGTACCTTGCTCACCCTGGTTCACAGCGGTCTTTCCATATCAGGAGCAAAGGTTTCTTACGGAGAGACACCAAGAAAGACACTCAGGATATTTTGGGGACCTCAGAAGAAAGGAATTAACCCCAAAGCTATAGGCATTGTAGGCGAAGTCTGATGGCAAGTATGCAGCCTGGCTTCTTAACCTCAGGGACTGAAATTCAATCTGAAGATTCCTTGTGAGAAACTCCAGCAAAGCAGATTTCAAAGAGCCTGTGAGGCTGCTTACTATTCTTGCTGGGCTTATATCAGGCCAAGTTTTTAAAACTAGACTTATTTTGCAAATAAATTTGTTTTAATTTGTCTACCTTTGACGAAAATGAGGGTCATTTTAGGAGAAAATGGTTTCAATAGAAACTATAATACGCCGTTGTGGGTATTAGGTTCTAGTGCTGTTCACGGTCTTTTCAGTTTTAAAAAAATTGTTTCTGCCTATAAACTAAACTGGATCCTGGATTTTTCTAGTTCTCTTAAATATCTGGCTGCAGCCCTCCAAATTAACATTTTTATTTTCCCATCCATTGACTTGGACTCACTGGGTCCCAAGGCCACGCACGCCGACGGAGGCCTCAGAGACCACCACAGCAGCCCCTGTGCGACAGTCTCTGTCCCTGCTGCGGAAGGATCGCAGCGACCTTCACTGCAGACCAGGAGACCACCACAGCAGCCCCTCTGCGACAGTCTCTGTCCCTGCTGCAGAAGGATCGCAGCGACGTGCACTGCAGACCAAGAGACCACCACAGCAGCCCCTGTGCGACAGTCTCTGTCCCTGCTGCGGAAGGATCGCAGCGACCTTCACTGCAGACCAGGAGACCACCACAGCAGCCCCTCTGCGACAGTCTCTGTCCCTGCTGCGGAAGGATCGCAGCGACGTGCACTGCAGACCAGGAGACCACCAGACGGTCACTGCCTGCCTTCACTCCAGCTAAGGATGATTCGGGACAGACATCTAGAAATCTTGACAGCCTGCCTTCAGAACTCAGAAACTGAGATTCTAGTCTGCTCTAAACATTAAACTTTGGTTTTCTTTTGTTTCCACAGACACGCCTCTTATCAAATCCGATTGCTTGTACCATAGGCTTAACTTTGGGAGCCCACCTGCGTCACTGCCTCCTGAAATGAGAAGTAACTGTTTACCTCAGCTGAGCTTTCCTCGGGTCTGAGGCTGGTTTAATGACAAATAGAACAATCTAGCAACCCAACTTCTGCCGGGTGAAACTTCAGAGGAGGGAACTGGGGGGGTCCAGGAAGAGTCACCCCAAGATGTGCTTCTGTGGTATCCACATTGTTTTGAGCTAAAGGCAACTTTAGCCACAGGCTCAGGAGACACTCTGCCCCTAACACTTAACTGCCTAGAAGAATCTGAATTAGAGAACTTGCTCTAAGAGATTATCAGTGATAATCCACCTTCATGGCAGGGCAAACTTTTATTAACTGAACATCTGCTCTTCTTATCATCCTGCAATGACCCTTTGAGGCCCCCAAGGTTCATCACCTCACCCCTGGCTCAGGATGCTTCATATCCCTCAACCCCCTTTCCGTCTCTGAACCTCTCCTGCATATGGGTCTCTGACTCTCTCATGTACGTGGGGTTCCCATACATATGTATGTATTAAATTTGGTTATTTTCTCTTGCTAATCTGTCTCATGTCTATTTGATTATTAGACCAGCCAGTAGAACCTTGAGGGTTGAGGAAAGTTTGTTCTTCCCCACATCAGCAGTGCAGGTCTGGCCTCAGGACACGGCCTCTCTTGAGCCTGGGAATCTAGCTTGGTTTGGTACTTTTGGATTGGACCCAATCTGGCCTCTGGTTGGAAGTGATGTGTCCAAATTTTGAAATTCAGATTCGTAATACATGGGATGCAAATTCATCTGTCTTTTTGTACTCAGTTTTATGTTGGACAAACAACTAATATACATGGTTACAGAAGAGTAAAACCCCCTTTGAGTTGTATATTCCCAATTTGAATGTATGTCATATAATCTTGATGAAGTTAATCTCACCTCAAGTTGGAGGTGCATCACTTAAATACTATGTAAGTGAATTACCTAAGAATTGTTTAAGAGAACAGATGAGGAAAATAGAATTTGCTTACCAATTAGTAGAGCTTCTTTCTCTGACTTTAAGCCTTGACTTCTTTTCTCAATGTTGTTTTCTCTGTCTTGGTTGACCAATGCAACTGTCAACACATTGACTTCCTATAAAATTAAAAAACAAAAAATATAGATATTTATGTGGATTCTGTGCATTTCAGTAAAAGCCACCAGGTCCCTTAAACTCTAAAAAACAAGTCATCTCTTACACTTATAACTGAAGATCAAGGTTTATAAGTAATTGCTCTATTTTCCCAACAGTAGAAAATCATTCTAAAATTTCGGCTCCTGGCTACAGCTCCCAGAAAACTAAGTAATTCTCTGTAAAAGTGGCAAATTTGGTGCAAATTATCTTAGGTTTTGGTCCATGTTCTGATTAAGCTGTTAGCAAAAACTATATTTGACTGTAGCTACTTTAACAAGTTTTATTCCAAATATAAAAAAGTCTTCTAAAAAGATACACACCTGATTTATAATTCTATGCTAGTAATCTGTGTGTGTGTGTGTGTGTGTGTGTGTGTTTGTGCACGCACGCGTGCCAGCGCAGGGGAAACAAGGCCTATTGGGAAGGTGAGATAGAGTTGTTAGGAGTGTTTAAGTTGAGTAGGTATGTGTCCTTATACACAACTGCAAACAGCAGATAAAGCCAATGGTGGAAAATTCTTTTCTTTGAAAAATAAAAATTAAGAATTGTACAACAAACCAATAACACATGAAACACTGAGGCTGGGCTATTTTTAGTTCTTTCTATAGTCTTTTGTTTTGTTTTGTTTTTTAATTTAAAACCAGAGAAAGATATTTAACTCATATCCTTCCAGACCTGATATTAGGACTCAAATGGAGAGTGATTTAACAGAAAGTCAAATTTAATGATCAGAAACCTGCATATATGGGGCAGTAGAATCATTAGGGTAGTTGAATCTTGTTGGGGGAAATTGCTTACTGAGAAATAGGTCTCAATAAAGAGTCAGAATATTGAGCAAAGAGTTAAGGATAATGTTTTAATAGACGGTGGGTAATCTGCCAGAGGACAGAGGGCAGGTAGGAAGAGATGAAGGAGAAGTTAGAAAGTCTGGGCAAATGGTGGGCAGGTGTTATGAGGACTGGAACTGGCTATAAGATATTTAGCTAGTTCCTGCAAGTTAACAAAATTGTCCAGGTAACAGAATACAGGAGAGTGTTGAGGTAATGTTCAGCATATAAAGAACACAAGTCTCATCAGAAGGCATTCAAACAAAAAAGAGAAGGAAAAAATAAACCCTCAGTGCATGCCAATAAAAATAGATCTATGAGTTGACTTTAACTTATGGTGGGTCTACTACTCTGTAAATCATAGAAAATGGAAATTGCCAGGAAAGAAGTTTCTCTTGAAAAACTGCAGTTGGTAAAGCAACATTGGATGAGCATTGTGAAGGCATCTCTAACGGTGACGCTTACCTGCTGAAGAGTGAGTGATCAAGTCTGAGTGAGAGCTGAAGATAGGCAAGGAGAAGAACTGGGGATCACAGTGCTGTGAGAACAGAAGGGAGGTTTTGGGTGACTAGGGGGTGTACCAACTGAGACCTAAGGCTGGTGTGTGCCCATGAGGACAGGGGTCAGAAAAGGTTTGGCGACTAGTCAAAGGAAAGTCTAGAGCCAGCTGAACATAAAAGGTCATTAGAGAAGAAAAATGCTTCTATATTTCCAAAAAGGAGTCTTGCAAACCAGCCCCAGCAGAACTGTACTCAAGACCTTTCAAACCGAACAAATTCAAAAGTTTATGTAGATGGAAGTAGAATATTTTCTAAAGAAGATTTAGACGGACGGGAATAGGAATTCTTCTGTGGTAAAATTCTTATGGAGTTTTTGACTAGACTGCATCAATCAGAGCAGGCAAGGCCATGTGGACACTTCATCTCCCTGGGCTAGTGGGATCAACGAGCTTGCTGAGTGTTGTGCCCTAAGGAAAACCAGGTCTCATAGGGACATGGCGCTGTGCTCCCATGCTTGGGAGGCTAAGACTACTGAGCAGAGTACGGGCTCTGTAAAGATCTCCCAACAGAGGTTTGGGAGGAAAGAGTATGGAAAAATATTAACTAGGGTGATTACTGTATCACTTAGGAAAAATACAAATAGTGAACCTTAGGAATGTGTGGAAACAGTATCTCCAAGAAAGGGTGATCTGTTCACAGCCTGGACGATAATTGGGGACAATGAAATTACTGAGAAGAGTTTAGCATACAACATGCCCCACTAATTGCCAAAATTGAGTGGTGTCCTGGGGCCATCGCACAGTTGAGGATGCAGGCGTAGGGAGGGCAATGGACCAGAGAGCTGGCAGTGCCCTGGGAGCTAGCCAGAAAGTGCAAGGGCAGAATGGGTTGAGGCCACTCGGGGGCTGTTAGGCACCTATCCCCACATTCAAATCTGGAGTCGTAAAGAAAGGGGGACTCAGAGCAGGCCCCAACAGAGGCTACTGAATAATGATGTCTACAAGAAGCTGATATGGCCTACCAAGATTGTTGCTTTGACGATGTTTTAGGGTCGGGCAAAAGAGGATGGAAAGGTAAGAGTCTTAGGATTACCTTTCTGTGGAAATAGTTCTTAAGATTGAATATTGTAGCCTGTACTCTGCTGACAACAAGTGGTGAGCTCCCGTGTGGTCATCATCAGTGACTGTGGAGGAGACACACCTCTTTGCGAGACTCCCCTAGTGGTTCAGGGCCTGGGCCTGACAGAGACCCGAGGCTTGACAGAGGTTTCAGCCTTTGGGTGCCACTGTGAGTTGTTTTCGAGGTGGAGAGGGAGGAACTATGCTGGGAGGTGGTACTGTACCTAATGAAGCCGATCAGGCAGGCTCCAAGTAGTTCTTGCATATTGTAAGTTGGCCTGAAGAATCTCCAAAAGGGGAACTCTCATTTCCATTAGAGTCAAAGGTGTCTCCAAGCATATTATCTCGAGACATGGTCTATAACATCATTTAGGGAAGTGGACCAACATGTGACTACTCAGGAGTGACTGCTAAGTGTCCTGGTGCCCAAGCCTGCCTCAGGCACAATATACAAGCTCACACTTGCAGACGAGTATTATGGATGAATATATGGATGAATGCTTATGCTATCGGTTTTGCCAGAGATAAAATTTAAGGTTAAGCCAGTGTGTTTTAAGGGCTGGAAGACACAACCGTGATTTTAGAGCTGTGCTTTTGTATTTTTCCACTATTAAAAAGGGGGAGAGGTGTTTTAATGACTCATTCATTATGGGTTCCTTTAACAAATAAAGTTCATTTGATGGGTCTGTATAGTTGGGTTGAACAAGAAAGTGATAATTATTGATAGGTTGCTAGTTCTGGGTGGTCTACAGAGTACAAAGTAGGCAACGCCTGTCCTTTCTTTTCATGTTTGTACTCAGTGCCTATGACTCTACATGACCATCCAGTATTTGTCAAAAGAGCTCCATCATCATGACTCGTAAGGTGGAGAAAATACATAGAGAAAATGTGGAACTAATAACTCCCCAACCAGACCCCTTTGCATTTAAGCTAAGTCGGTGTTTACTTGCAGCCACCCGAGCAATATTTATTTGTCACATGCCTACTCTATGCCAAGGAATGCTAAAGTTTTAAGGACACTGAGTCCCAAGTGGCAAGAAGCACATGCTTCCTTGGGAGCTAGCAGCAATTCTGAGAAAAGGTCAGTAAGGAAGCCTATAGGAAATGTCACTAGATAGAGCTGGAGCAGGAGGTAGATCATGATTCAAGGTTTGGATTTTATTTGGAAGGCTTAATTAATAAAGAGTGCTCAGCAGAAGAGTTGCATTCATACTTCTGAATTTTAGGTTATGGGCTAGGAGGCAGGAAGGCCAGGTTGGAGCCCACTCCAACAGTCTGTTTCTTACCTTTTCATGATGAGGGTCCAAACCAAGTCAGTGGTGTGCAAAACACAAGAGCTATTTAAGAGGTAGAACTACAAAGTATCTGGTGACCTGGTGAGTGAGGAAAATGTTGAGAATGAGTAGGTGCCTTGGTGAGTAGGAAGCAGAGAAAGAAGCAAATATGAAAATGATGTGTTCAATTTTAGAAATGTTGAACTTAAGGTTTCTATGACATTTTATCAATATATTTGGGAGAACTCTAAGGATATACCCAAAGAAGCCTGAAACACCAATCAGAAAGAATATATGTACCCCTATGTTATAGCAGCACTATTTATAATTCCTAACATCTGGAAACAGTCCAAGTGTCCATCAGTAGATGAGTGGATAAAAAAGCAGTGGTACATGTACACAATGGAGTACTATGCAGCTTTAAGAAAGAAAGATCTCTTATCCTTTGAGATGACATGGAGGGACCTAGACAGTATTATGTTAAGTGAAATAAGCCAATCAGAGAAAGATAAATACCACATGATCTCACTTATTTATGAAATATAATGAACAAAAGAAGCTGATGAACAAAATAGACCCAGAGACATAGAAAGAAGTACAGTTCAGACTGACAAACCTCAGAGGAGGGGAGAAGTGGGAGAGAGGAATGAGATAAACCTAAGAAATGTCAAGAAATCGATGGCATTCTTATACACGAATGATGAAATCACAGAAAGAGAAACAAAAAAGACAATCCCATTTACCATCACAGCAAAAAAATTAAGATACCTAGGAATAAACTTAACCAAAGAAGTAAAGGACCTCTTCACAGAAAACTACAGGTCATTGAAAAAAGAAATAGAGGAAGATAGAAAAAAGTGGAAGCACATACCTTGTTCATGGATTGGAAGAAATAACATCATTAAGATGTCCATACTACCCAAAGCAATCTATAGATTCAATGCAATCCCCATGAAAATACCAACAACATATTTCACAGAACTAGAACAAACACTCCAAAAGTTTATATGAAACCAAAAAAGACCCCGATTAGCCACAGCAATCTTAAAAAAGAAGAACAAAGTAGGAAGGATCACATTACCAGATTTCAGGTTATACTACAAAGCCACTGTAATCAAAACAGCCTGGTACTGGCACAAGAACAGGCAGATAGATCAATGGAACAGAATAGAGAACCCAGAAATGGACCCAAGACACTATGCTCAATTAATATTTGATAAAGGTGGCAAGAGCATACAGTG